TTTGAAAATATTAAAGAGATTGACATTTCTAATGTGAATTTGGACAATTTTGTTCTTCCAAAAAACACGAGAAAAGTAATTTTAAAAAACTTGAAAGGAGTTCTTGAAATGTCGAAGTGCAAAATTGAACACTTTGAGATGAGTTCTTGTTTTCTTAAAAATCTTGTATTTGACGACGAAGAAATTACATATCTTAACATAGAAAACACTGGAATTTCTGTTGTTCACAAAGGTAGAAAACATGCTAATACTTTTTATATTGATTTGGACAAAATTAAACTTTTTAAATTCACAGAAAAATATGCTACGAACAGTTACAAAAAATTTGTGTTTTTGAAAAGTAAAGTCAACGTGATAAATATCACGGCTATACATTTAACTTACATTCGAAAAGATCAAATTTTATATATTTCAGAGGTTAAAGGAAATGTCGATTTGAGGCAAATGCATTTGAAACAAGTTAGTATAACTTCAAATAACAGGTCAAAAAAGACACTTGATAATGATGAAAATTTCTTAAAAATCGATAATGTAAAAGAACTTTATGTATCACATACACATTTCAAAGAAATCCAAGTTGGTAAGATATATTTACTATCTTTATCCAACTGTGATGTAGAAAAACTTGAAGGAATTTACGTGAAAAATATGAATACTTATAATTGTACTATCAAGGAAAATACAATTGAAAAGGTCGATATTCTAACTGAAAAGTAAATGATTGATTTAATTTGATATAAACATTGAAAAGGAATTTACATTAATCACCTCCACTTTTGTTATCATAAAATAGTTATCAGATTTTTTAAAAGTAATACTAACTCAAGTACACTAAGCTTGGAAATAAAAGACTGAAAATTTGGGGACACATCAACGAGTTGATGAAGATACGCATTTACAATTTTTTTGTTTTGGAGTCATTTGCAAATATAAACAAAGATATTTTGTGTTCTGTTTCTTAATTATCTAAATTTAACAAAAAATATGTGCCAAAATTCCGATTATATAGATAAAAAACCAAAAGGATCAATTGAAAAATTATTTGGAAAAGTTCGACACACTTTATTTTCTGACACTCAATATCCATGCTATTTGTATTATCTTTTCAATGAAATGACCGATATTCCAAAAGTTTACGATGTTTTTACTATAATTTCTACAAATTTATATTGTTCAAAAAAAATTGTTATATTTATATAGTACCTTTTAAATTAACTACCAAATATATATATAACATTTTATATTTACAAATTTTAAATATATGTAAATATATATATTATTACAAAATTAATAAAAGTTACTAAAATTGTAATAAATATCATTTTTGTATAAATGTATTTATTTATAGAATTAAAAGCCAAATAATATGTTAAAAGATTTTCAACATTTAGTATGTGTTTAGTATTTTTCTTATAAGTATTTAAGTAAATCTTATTAACAAAAAAGAATTTTTTATGTTTGAAAATATCAAAAAAATATTCAGCTTAATTTACTAATATATAAACCCCAAGCGACAATTTAATAACAAACCATAGCAATTTAACACAAGATAAATCTCAAGCACAATAAATTTGTTTTTATTACCAAATTCTGAACCTTTTAGAACGATGAATATTTATTGAAAAATAAATCAACTTTAAATGTTTTAATAAAAGTGTTTAATGCAATTGTTTTTACTCTTCATTTTTGTTATAAACTCTTTTCATTAATTCGTCATTGCCCTCAATGATAGGTAAAAAATGCAAATTTTACCTAAGATATTTAAATTTTATATATTTTCATTAGGTGTGGTTATATGAAAAATATAATTTTTTGATGTTAAATTGAAACAAAAAAGTGTATGACCTCTTTATTATTTTGAAATTTATTTTATCTACCTGTTATTTTTCCTTATCCATAAATCGTCATTATTTTTACTATTTTTAGAAACAAAGAAAATCATTTTTAACACTAAAAAATAAAAACAATCGTTTCACATTTTTATTATGATTAAAATATTGAGTAAAATGTATTTTATTATTT